TGGGTGTCAGCCGGGCTCCCTATTCCCAGGCACCCCACTCTTCTCATTTCCTGCCCAGGGACTCTAGTCCTACCTACCTACACACTCTGGAAAACATCTTGGCCTCAGCTTCTCCCAGGGCCGATGATACTTTGCTACAGGAATGCACTTCAGTGCGTCCTCTCAGTTACCATCTCTAACTTGCAGCAGCCCAGGGAAAGGATGTGCACTGAGGTAAGGACTGTACTTATGTAGCTACCATCTGTGGAATGATGACCTGTGCCTACTACTATCCATATTTATAGGCTAAAACAGGCCTTGGAAGAATGCTGGTCCAATCCTCCTTTAGAGATGAGGAAACTGATGGCCAGTGAGCAGAAGTGACTGTCTCAAGACTCCTTAACCTGAAGAGGTGACTTCTTAGCTGTACTGACCCCAGTAGGTCACAGATCCATCCCCTCTGTGTTACCCTCCCAGCTCAGTCTGCTAAGGCTCTTGGAAGACAAACTAACAGTTGGTTTAAGGTAAGCTCCAGAAAGTTTCCTGTCGCTCTCTGTGCTATAGGTGACAGGTCCCACTGGCTCCTGTGGCTCCCTCTGGCCCATCTGGATCATGCACTTGCACTGCTGCTGCCCATGTCAGGGAAGCTCATGGGCTGTACCTGTGGCTGGCTCCCTATGGCTGACTGAGTAGCTAGCATCAGATTTAACATCTTTCCCGAGACTTGGGACTCCCTACTCCATGCTCTGTGGATGTTCTGCCCACATCCCAGTGGCCACCACAAAGATTGGCTGACACAACTTAAATATCTCTTCCAGAGGAACCTTAACCACTGCTGGGGCAGAAATTAAATCAGGTCAGTCCCAGGGACCACCAGCACCTGGTGTACCACAGGCAAACACATGAGAGGAGATGGACAAATGAACAAGTGCTGAGGCAGACATTAAGACTCCCACCCAGGGAAGGAGACGAGTCAGACTCAGTCAGTGCTGAAGTAGAACAGGGTAGAAGGCTCGGGAAGTGGGACAAAAACATGTCTCATTCAAAGACATGCCTTTCCGTTTTCTGTTCCCAGGAGTCTTAGTAAAGGTTTTACTGCTGTGAACAGACACCATGACCAATGCAAGTCTTATAAAGGACAACATTTAATTGGGGCTGGCTTACAGGTTCAGAGGTTCACTCCATTATCATCAAGGTGGAAACATGACAGCATTCAGGCAGGCACAGTGCAGGAGGAACTAAGAATTCAACATCTTTAGCTGAAGGCTGCTAGCAGAATACTGGCTTCCATGCAGCTAGGAATAGAGTCTTAAAGCCCATGCCCACAGTGACACACCTACTACAACAAGGCCACACCTCCAAATAGTGCCACTCCCTGGGCCAAGCATATACAAACCATCACACCAGATCACACATTCAATTAAGACCTCTTTGTGAATGGGGTCAGCCCTCCGTGACCAAGATGGCTAGAGGTTGTACAGCATAGCTAGGTTTTTGGGGTACTTGTACACTGACACAGACTGTGCTTCCCACATGTAAGTTACAAGCCAGGCAGTGCATGTGGGCTGGGGGGTGCAGGAATTGTGGCGTAATGTGTCCAGTGTACTCCGACTGTCAACAATGACAATGCAACTCCCATCTGGTTCTGAACTCCACATACTATGTAACTGAAAGGCACCTGACCCCAGGAGGAGACCGTCATAGGGGTAGTCTGCCAAAAAGGTGACTGACTCAAGGTCAACAGCTAGCATGTTGGGGGCAGCTGACCCTTTGGTGCCCCCATAGAAGCCTTTTGTTAAACTGAGAAGCATTCACATATCACCACCATGGTCATCACCGTCACCGTCATCACCATCATCACCATCACCACCATCACCACCATGGTCATCACCGTCACCATCACCACATTATCATCATCCTCATCATCACGTGTTCTTGGTGTGATGGGAGCTCAGGTGCCATGGTGCAGTCTGGAGGTCAGAGAACAACTTTCTGGAGTCAGTTCTCTGACCTTTCTGTGCGTTCTTAACAGCTTAGACAGCTCAGCAGACTGGCAGGGCAGACACTTCACTGAGTTATCTTGTCAGGACCAGTGTTTTATTTTAAAAGACACCGAAGCGCTCATTCACTCACTCCCTGTCTCCATCTCTCTCCCTTCATGAGAGGACACAGCCATCGGTGGGGGAAGCCCTCGCCAGAGCATTCCCATGCTGGCCCTGCGTTTTTCTGGCCTCCAGGACTAGGAGAAAGACATTTCTGTGGTTAGGAAACAATACCCAGTCTGTGATATTTTGTCATGGCTTTCAGAGCAGACTTAGATGACTAGGGGTGGGGTGAGGCAGGGGCAGGACATTGAGGCTGAAGAGGTTTTGCATGGTCGCCTGTGGTGGATGGGCCTTGATGGCTCCTGTACAGGAAGTGTCCTCCACAGCTGGAAATAAGGGCTTCTTCTAGGACAGTGTGTGGACTCCTGAGCTTACTAACTTCGGGAGTTGGGTATCTCTGAGCCCTGCAAGAACAGTATGCTGGGGCTGTCCCTGAGAGATAAGTCTCCTGACAGGAATACAGGGCGCTCCCTTTGGGCCTCTCCATGAAGAACACAAGCTAAAGCTGAGGAGTGAGACCAAGAGGCCTCCTCATCTCCCTCCCCAGCCCACTCCCACACCATACAGCTAGAACCTGGCATCAGAAGGCTGAGAGGAAGAGAGGATAGGCCTCACGCCAACCAGTACCTGCTTTGACCCCGGAACTTGGACTTAGCTCTACACTTCAGTACCTTCCAGAATGAGTGATGGACTCTTCTGACCATCTGTTGTCAAGGGTCTAAATAAAGGCTGAGGAGCCCCTTGTGTGTTGAACGAGGCCTGGCAGACCCTGGCTTACTTTAGTAAAGCAAACGGTACAGTTTAGTAAAGTAAACGATACAGTACTAAAACGGTACAGTCATGTATCTGGCTCTGTGTCATCTGGCATGGGGCAGGGGCAGATTCATCCCAACTCTGTTAGCTGTGACCAAAGTGAAAACCTAGGCTTCGATTACAGGATGAAGCAGCTGCACTGAATCACTTGAGAGCAGAGAGAAAGTCTTCAATTAGGGGAATAGCTCTGGCATGTAAAACACTTCTGTCCCGAATGTTCTGAGGTACACTGTAACCTGCCAGGTTACCTCACATGTTCTCAGAACCACAACCAGACCCAAAGCTCACTTGTACTTGCTTGATGGCTCTTTATGTAGACCCTTGACTTAAACTCACACAGACGATGGCACCATCCCTTAGTTACAAACACACGTTAACTGAGAAAACAGGCAACGTTTAAGGGCAGTGGAAGGGCAGGATGAAGGAAGAGTCTGCCTGTGCTTCAGGAAGTCCTGCGATCATCTCACCCTCTTGCTGATCAGAGCAAGGAAAACAAAGGAGGGAAATAACCCTAGATGCTGGAGAATCATACCCATAATCCCCTCACATCTGGCCTTGGCAGGCAGGCAAGTATAGATGGGATTTTACGTACCCACCCTTTTTCCACACCCCCAGTGTCCGGGCTCTGCTGGAGTTGGCTGCAGCAGCAGTCTGCGAGGCAGCTGGGCAGACATCAACAAGCAAGCAGCAACAAGGACAATCTACTTGCCAAGATCCAAGAATCCATCCCAAACTGGGAAAGTATTTTCTCACAGGAGGCACAGTTAGAGCGGCACAGCTGTGCAGGCTCATATGCCCATGCAAACTGAGAGCACAGAGAGGAGGAGGCTTACTGCCGACCTTCAGTTGTGCCAGTGGCCAAGGAACGTGATCCTATAACCAGAAAGGCAGGAGCCAGGGAAAGCAAAGTATGGTCTTTGCTTCCCTTTTGACCCTTTCTCTCAAACTGTTCCTAGTCCTTCGTCTTAGTCTATGTGGAAATAGGAGCATCGGGCAGAAAGCACACTTCTGAGTGGATGAGATGAGGAAGCCTGGAATGAGGTTTGTTTGTTTGTTTGTTTGTTTGTTTTTGGCTTTTGAGACAGAGTTTCTTTGTGCTGCCCTGGCTGTCCTGGAACTGGCTCTGTAGACCAGGCTGGCCTCGAACTCATGGAGAGCCTTCTGCCTCTGCCTCCCGATGCTGGGATAAAGTATGTACCACCACTGCCCAGTGAAGGAGCCTGGAATCTTATCATTTGGTTGTTTGTTTAAATGGAGAAAGGAGTTAAAGCCAGCTACAAGGAAATATATACCTAGATAATTTCACTGCCAGACTGGCCTGCTAAGGTGACAGGGCTCAGGGAAGGCAAAGGATTTCTCAGAGCTTTCTGAGCTCACTGAACTCCCACACAGACTGAGACCCTACTTAGTAGAGGGCCTTCTAGGACTCCTCCCTGAGTCTGAGCTGCAGCTAATCCATCGTCCCTGGAGTGTGATAGCATGTACTCAGCGCCTGGTATGCAGCCAGCTGGCAGGCAGCAAGTCTCTGTACTGTGGGTCCCAGGTGTGACTGACAAGGGGTGGAGCTGAGAGGGAGTCTTAGTCTGTGCTCTGGAGAGAATGACGAGGAAGTTAAGACTTCATCCTGCTTCATCTCACCGTGGGAAAGCACAGCGAGGACTTATGTGCAAAAGAGATGGGACAGAGGGACTGACCCCATGCTGTAATTACTCATTCTCCACAACCGGCCCACTCCCACAAGAAAGGCGCAACAATCACCTTGGAAAAAGTCTATGTCTTAAACATATCACAGTGGCAACAACATTTGAATGTAACTTTGAACAAACCACAACTCAAACCACTGCAGCGCGCCAAAACTGAGGGCCTGTTTCCTAACGCTGGTGAAGCAGGGCATGGAGCTAGCAAAGCCATTTCCAGGACAAGGAAAGGAAGTTTGGGCAGGAGCACTAATGGCTTCGAGATACAGGCACACACATCACCAGGGGCCCAGTGAAGCATGAGGAGGGACGCTCAGGTACATGCCCGAGTCAACAGCCTACGGGCACCCATGAAGGCCTGTGCTGAGCCTGTCTGTCCCAGGATCACAAATGTAATGAGACTCACTTGCACAGGTCTTCCCATCGCTTCGGAGCACATGGCCCTCAGGACATTGGCAGGCAAAGGACCTGTCTGTGTTGACACAGGAGTATTCACAACCATGGTTGCTCAGCAAGCAGTAATCTGCCCCTGTAAGACCAAAGCCAAGTGAGGTCCCTGAGCCTGTCTCAGCAAGTCTCCTGGGCTATATGGGGATCAAGTAACTGTTCATTTACTGCCTTTGAAATTGTGTGGTCCCCAGCAGATTCCCCCTTAGTCTCCCTAGGGGAGAAAAAAGGGCAGAGAGCATGCTGTTCTCTGCATGGTCTATACACGCCACTTCTGTTGGGAACCATTCCCTGTAGAGAGGTGAAAGGAAGACTCACTGGAGCAGGTCTTGAGGTCATCATTAATAAGGAAGCCTTCCGAGCACTGGCAGACAAAAGACTCTTCCGTGTTCAGACACAGCTGCTCACAGCCATGGTCCTGCTGTGCACAGTGGTCCACCCCTGCAATGGTCACAAAATACAAAAACAGAAAGGGACTGAGATGCCAATGTGTCATTGAACAAGGCTAAGCAAAGCCTTCCTGGCAGCAACAGCAGCCCCAGGGAAGGACTGTGCTTGCTGAGATACCAGCCTTGCTCTGTGTCAGGGACACAAACCTAGGGTCACTTGGGATGAGAAAATCTCAGCTAAGGAATTGCCTCCCCCAAAGTGGCCTGTGGGCATGTGTGGCATGTCCTTGATGTTGACTGACGCCCACTGTGCCATCCCCGAGAAGGTAGTCCTGAGTGGTGTAAGAATGAACCAGCGTTCCTCTGAGGTCTCTGCCTCAGTTCCTGCCTTGAGTTCCCTAGTCACAAACTGTTACCTGGAAGCATAAACTGAAACAAACTGCTTTTGGTCATGGAGTTTATCCCAGCAGCAGAGAAGAAAACTAGGACGGGGCCAATTCTCATGCCCTTGCTGTGGATGTGGGTCACACTTAGCCTCTCTGTGCTGTGACCTCCTGACCCAGGGGTGATGGCAATCCTTTTCTTTTTTATGCCTCCCTTGACTGTGTGTGTTCATGTATGGTGCAGTGTGTATGGGAGCTTGTGGCGGCCAGAGGACAACGTCATCATTCTCAGGAAATGTAGTCTACTCCTCTAGACAGGTTCTCTCACTAGCTTGGAGCCCAACAATTAGGCTAGACTGGCTGGCTAACAGGAGCCTTTCTGAAGTGGAAATTCCTGGTTTATTTGGAAATTCAGTTGTGTCATGTGATGCTTTTCTGGAAGCTGTCTCATGAGATGATGTCTTGATGAAGCAGACACAGGAAAGGATGCTGTGATGTTTGGAAAGAGTCTAAGTAGACCCCAACAGACTCTTGCATTGGTTCACCTTGTAACAGGTCTTCACTGATCTTCATAGAGAGAAAAGTGCCAGAGAACTTCTCACGGTATTCTAGCTGCTTCCCGATATTTCAGAGGATTGATTCAGCAGAGCCTTCTGGTTTCTTCTGGATCGAGCCACTGCTATGGATTTGTGTTTGGAATCACCCCAAAGAACTACTTCTAAACAGGTCCACACCCCATTCCTATCCACCTTTCTTCTCCCCTGCCTTTGGGTGGTGGGCTAGAAGGGAGGTTGAAGCATTTAAGAACCTTTATTAATGTAGGTTTTGAAAAAAATCCAAGCCTGCACTGTTCTGTTTCCACCTGGCCTGTGCTGAGATCACAACACACACTGCCACACCTCCACTCTTACCCAGGTTCTGGATGTAGAACTCAGACCCCTGGCTTGCAAAGCAACCACTTCACTAATGTGTTATCTTCCCTAGACACCTGGCAGTCACTTTCTGGTAATAATGCCAAGTCAGAGGAGATGACCCATCTAAAGCCCTCTGGTGGCTGGCATATGGCAGCCGCTAATGAACCGCTATTAATATTACTAATGAACTACTATTATTATTACTAAGTGGTGCTCAGAGAGAATTATTGTGTAATTCATTTCTATTTGAAATTAAAAAGCCAGTTTAAAAACAACCTCTCTTAATCAGGACATCCAGATTCAGAAAATAAACAAAAGCTTCAGCTACCTGTGTGGTTTCTTCTGGCATCTAAACACCATACAGCTGGTCCTTGGGCAGGGCGAGCAGAAAACCAAGGAACACACAGCTATGGTGGATAGCTCCCGCAGAGAGCCTCATGGGCTGCCTCCCAGATTTACTGAATGGAGAAAATGTAAGCCCCATCAGCTGGACAGACACGGAAGTAAGCCTTCTCACTCTGCATGGCTGAGGACTAGTGCCTCTGCAGCAGTCCACTGGTCGACATACCTACTGTAATCCCTTTCAGGGTCTCAGGAGCCATGTGCTCATGCTCACATCCTGATCTGCCATTTACCAGGCAGAATTGTTGGGAAGCGTGTGAGAGCTAGGATGTTGAAGGTGCTCACAACCATGCCTGCATGGAATGAGAACTGCAGAAGGGCTGGCTGCCGTCATGTCTGGGGCTCTCTAAGAACTCCATGAGTTTCCCTGGGGACTTCTGGGCAGAAACAGCTTGGTTTATACTTTCTAAATGCTGACAAATCTTATAAAGACCACCATCTCTTCTGGGCTCACATATGAGCTTCTCGATTCCCCAAGGCATGCTGGGAGAGTCAGGGAGTCCAGGACTTTTAGATGCCTAAGGTAGACTCAGTGAAGCTGCAGATTACTATCAGTATCCGCAGCAAGCCAAACATACACATGCGGAGAAGGCAGGATTTGGCACCTCCATTAACCAGGCATCTTCTTGTTGAGCAAAGATCTCCTTCTGCTCCCCTCAGCTCAGGACCCAGTGACAGAAGAAAGTGTACCGCACAGTGCTGACTTTTGCATCAACTTCTTCATTCAAAACCCCCTTGACTTCTGGGATCACACTTAGACTGCCAAATCTCCTTCCCTCTGAAGACAGAGAAAGAGGATCCCCCAGGTTGGCCCTGAATCTCATACTTCAGCTGTGAAACTTCCCCTCCTGGCCAAAGGTCCAAAGGTTCAACAGCTGCATGCTTCTCACTCAGTTTCCTGCCTGCAGAGCCAAGCAGATGCACAGTGTACTGTGTGCAAAGCATACAGGAGCAATTCTTATGTAGGCCAGTGCCACTAGCCCCCACTCTCAGTGTGTCATGGTCCTGGTAACCATCACAGCCCGCATATGCTCTTAGCTTCTGCTGGCTTGGGACTGTGAAGACTACCTCAAAAAAAAAAAAAAAATGGGCTCACCCAGCTGGTAAGATCTGAAAGTTTTCATATGTTTATGTCGCCAAGCTTGTTGTGGGTCCAATACAAGGAAATAAAAGATCAGCTTCACAAGATTCTCATGCTGCCCAGGTTTTCCCTCACATCAGCCTGGGGAGTCCAAAGTTTTCCAAGGTCCACCCCTTCTGGCTTCTTGTCTCAACCTGGTACTGGCCGTTAGTCACTTTTACAGGCTTCGTGACAAGGACTATTATCTTTTATCTAGTATTATGTTTATCATAAACCTGGCACTAGGCCAAGACAGTGAAATGGCCTCAATTATTCCCCATAACCACCTGGGGAATTCATGCTATTAACTTTTAAAAATAGGCAATCAAAACTTGGAGAACAGTCTGTCTGAGTCACATATATAGAATGGGACAGCTTAGATTTGAATTCAGGCCTATCTGACTTAGTAAATGCTTTTGAAGCAAAGACTAATAACTGCTAGCAGCCCTGTTCTAAGCAGCCTACACAGTTTCTCTCTCTCTCTCTCTCTCTCTCTCTCTCTCTCTCTCTCTGTTTTTTCTCTCTCTTTCCTCCCTCTCCTCTCTCCCCTTCCCTCTCCTCTCCCTCTCCTCTCTCCCCCTCTCTCCTCTCTTCTCTCTCCTCTCTCTTGCTCTCCTCTCTCTCCTCTCTTCTCTCTCCTCTCTCTTGCTCTCCTCTCTCTCCCTCTCTTCTCTCTCATCTCCCTCTCTCCTCTCTCTCCCTGTCCTCTCTCTGCTCTCTCTCCCTCTCCTCTCTCTCCCTCTCCTCTCTCTCTCTCTCTCTCTCTCTCTGCTCTTTCTCCCTTTCCTCTCTTTCTCTCCTCTCCTTCACTCCTTTCTCCCTCCCCCGACCCCCACCCCCCAGCTTTATTCTCGCTAGGATCTTGACAATAGCTCTGTGCATGCAAAGTTACCACTCTACTTACTGGCTTAGCTACACCCTCAACCCCTATCTTAGTTTAGATTTCAATTGCTGTGAAGAGACACCATAACCAAGGCAACTTTTATAAAGGACAACATTTAATTGAAGCTGGCTTACAATTTCATTGTGGCAGGAAACATGACAGGGTGTTGGAGGAGCTGAGAGATCTGTATGTTGATCTGAAGGCAGCCAGGAGAAGACTGGCTTCCAGGCATCTAGGAGGAGAGTTTCAAAGACCACATCCAAAATGACACACCTCCAACAAGGGCACACCTACTCCAACAAGGCCACACCTCCAATAGTGCCACCTGGGCCAAGCATATTCAAACCACCACATTCCATGCCTAGTCCCCATGGGTTTGTTCAACACATGAGTCTATAGGAACCATACCTAGCCACAGCTTAATACAAAATACATTTAGTTCAACTTCAAAAGTCCCCATAGTCTATAACAGTCTCAACAATGTAAGAAGTCCAAAGTCTCTTCTGAAATTCATCTAATCACTTAACTCTAATCTCCTGTAAAATCAAAATAAAAAAGCAGATCACATACCTCCAACATCATATGATATATGTTACCATTCTAAAACATCATAGTGAGGAAATACTGGGCTGAAATAAGACAAAAAACCAGCTGGGCAAACTCCAAACTTTGTGTCTTCATGTCTGAAGTCAAATTGCTCTTCAAATCTCCAACTCCTTTCATCTTTGTTGACAGCAACAAACTTTTTTCTCTTGGGCTGGTTCAACTCCCTGTTAGCAGCTTTCCTCAGCAGGCTCTTACACCTCTAACAACTTGAGGTCTCCACTTCAACTTCACAGCTTCTTGTTCCAATGTCTGGGATCCACACATGTTCTTCTGATCCTCCAAAGGGCTTGGGTCACATCTCCAGCTCTGTCCTCTGTAGCACTCTAGGCTCTGGTTGACTCCACTCCACTGCTGCTGCTGACACCACTCCACTGCTGCTGCTGTTCTTGGTGCTCATCCCATGGTACTGGCATCTCCAACACGCTGGAATCTTCTGCTGCAACTAGACTTCACCAATAGCCTCTCACAGGCTCTCTTCATGGTGCCAAGGCTCAACTTCTTTCTGTGACTCCTTCAGTTCTGGACCATCTGAAGCTGCACCTTCACCAATGGCCTACCATGGCCTCTCACAGTGCCAATCCTCAGCTGCTTTCCATGACCCCTTCATGCTTTCAAAACCTGTATCACCTGGGTGATTCTTAAACATTACCAAGTCTGATTGCAACACAAGGTACAACCTTGGCTATCTATCTCTGGAACACAGCTTCTTTGTGCTCTCAGAAAACACTTCTTAGATGCTGGTCTCTTCTTAATCACCACTAATTTCTTAGCTCCAGCTCACCAGCATCAATTGTCCCAGTAGTCCCTTCCATTCTTGACTCTAAAGCCAGAGCCACGTGGCTGAAGCTGCTGAGTTCTGCTGCTTGCTGGAGCTAGAACATGCCCCCGACCCCCATTGTACTACCAGTTTTGTGTTTTTCAACTTCCTCACTGCCTAAGCTTGGCTGTCCTAAAACTTGCTCTGTAGATTGACCTTGAACTCAGTCTCAGACTCAGTCTCCTGAATGCTGGGATTAAAGGCATGTGCCACCATACCTGGACTTTTCTTTATCTGGAACTTGTTCTGTACTAGGATGGCCTTGAACTCTGCAAATTGAGAGATCTGCTTGTCTCTGTCTCCTGGGATTAAAGGTGTATTCCATCATGCCTGAACCTAAGCTTTTCATAATCAAGTTGAAAACTGAGAATAGCTATCACAATCTATCTCTTGTCAACTTGATATGCAATCATATCTCCTTATGTCCAAATGAAAACAATAACCAGTCATAATAACACCTAACGAGATATAACCATCGTACAATTACAAATATATAAGTTTAGCTGGGTGGCATCTTGCCTGGAGGTCACCACTTCCTTAATTACATCTAATATCCTTGAACACAGGAGTTAGCTTCATTCCACTTCCTGGTACCCCTTTACTCTTTGAGCCATACATTTTGTATTTTTACTTTCTAAGCTGGCTATGCTTGATCAAAATGTTCTTCATGAGAGTAAACCAGAGGACAAAGTCTATACTGGGATTTTTTTTTTTTTTTTTTTTTTAGATTTCCTTTGTCAATGCAATAAATATCTCTTTACCTTAGCCTCAGGCAGACTGTTTGGATAAAGCCAAAAAACAGCATCATTCTTCAAAACATCACAAGAGCGATCTCCAGAGTTCAAATCTCCTCAATATCAATGCCTTCCAAAGTCCTACTAGAATGGCCCATTAAGTCCCACTTAAAGCTTTCCATGGCTTTCCAACTCCAAAGTCTCCAAATCCACACTCTTCCAAACAAAAACATGGCCAGGCCTATCATAGCGATATCCCAGTCCCTGGTACCAATTTCTGTCTTAGTTTGGATTTCCACTGTTGTGAAGAGACACCATACCAAGGCAACTTTCATAACAGACAACATTTAATTTGACTGGTTTTACAGTTTCATCATGGCAGGAAGCATGGCAGCATCCAGGCAGACAGGGTGCTGGATGGAGCTGAGAGAGCCTCATCTTGATCTGAAGGCAGCCAGGAAAAAAACTGGCTTCCAGTCAGTTAGGATGGTCTCAAAGCCCATGTCCAAAGTGACACACTTCTCCCAACAAGGCCACACTTCCTAATAGTGCCACACCATGGGCCAAGCATATTTAAACAACCACAAACCCTACACATGTATTTATTTCCATCCTCTACCCCTATCTTGTTCTCTTCCAATTTTTTGAGGTTACATCTTGTTCTAGAGCTCATGCCAGTCTTGAACTCACCATCCTCTGCCTCAGCCTCCTGAGTGCTGAGACTGTTAAGTGTGCATCACTGTACTTAGTATATACTAACTCTCTTTAAATTTCTTTTAGATTTATGTATTTTATGTGTATAAGAATTTTGCCTGCCTGTATGTATGTATGTATGTATGTATGTATGTATGTATGTATGTATGTGTATTATATGTATGCCTGGTGTCCATGGAGATCAGAATAAGGCGCTGAATCCCCTGGAACTGGTGTTACAGTTATGAGCCACTAGGTGGATGCTGGGAACAGAATCTGGGTCTTCTACAAGAGCAGCAAGTGCTCTTGACCACTGATCCATCTCTCTAGCCTCCATCTGAATTCTCTTAATCATTACAACTCAACCTTTGAAGACACTTGATTGTTTGTGAATTGCAGGAAACCCAGAAGCTCTGGAAGGGCATGGATGCTAATGAGCCCAAAGGACTGTGAATGGACGTCACTCCATCAGCACCCACACCCCTGGGGCACACTCACGGCTGCAGGTCTTGCCATTGGGGTCCAGAGTGTAGCCCTTACGGCAGCGGCAGTAGTGACCCTCCTCTGTGTTCACACACTCATGCTCACAGCCTGGTTTGTTCAGTGCACAGTAGTTGATCCCTGAGGAAAGAAAGTGAAGACCCCCTGTTTAGACCATGTGAGGCTATTAGGGTGGGCTCCAGGGTTCCCACAGCCCCCATGGGAAGAAAGAGCTGCTGGATACTGCTTGCTCAGGCTGGGAACTATCAGTCAGTCAGTCATTTACCAGCCAAGGGCCAGGGCCTATGAACACTGCTGAGGCCCAGCCTTCAAGGATTTGCACTCTGAAGACACAGCAAAAAAGAATCAGGACCATTAGACACCAAAAATGTAACTGAGTGCCAAGAAATGAGGTGAGGTTATGGATACCTCCTGTGCACTGTCCTGCTGGTTAAACCGTAAACTGAGGAGTAGTATAAAGGTGAGGAATGGGTGTGACTTCACTTAGTAGGGTCCGGTACGCCAAAGTCACATGCCAGAATTGTCACATAATGTCCTTTATGTATGTCAATTCGTGAAGAGTTCAAGGCGGATCAAGAAGGTCAGACTGAAAATAGGAATAAAGAGCAACCCCACACATCAAGTCACGATGACAGGCAACATGGGAAAGAGATTCCAGAAAACCCACAAAGGTTAAAAATGTTGAAGCAGAGAGTCTAAACTCCTCACTAAGGAAATCCAGGTCCAGAGAAGTAAAACTAGCCTGTGACCCCAAGACTCATAGCTCAGACCAACTAACTGGGGAATTCACACTGGCTTTTAAGGACGTTATTCCAGCTATGATGAGCCCCAATCTGAGTACCAGAATCTAAAACCTCACAGCCCACATCCGGGTCACACCGCAATTTCTCAGCCTCAGATCTTGATGACATTCCAGGCTTTGCATCACCACCTTCATGATGAATGTCTGGAACTGACAACAGCATTCTCCAGCAGGAGATGAGGAAGAAGGTGGAGGCCAGCAGTCTTTCCTCCATTCCCCAGTTTAATGAGATAATACTGAATTCTTTTGAAATGGATTTTTTTAAAAAAATAATAAATTAGATTTGAAAGTTACCACCAGCCTCCTGTTACATGTAAATGGTCCAGCGTTCTAAGGCTCTATACATTCTCGAGATCTTAGACTCCTAAATGTAAACCTCAGATTTTAAACCAATTCCCTTGCTTGTCTCTGCCATGGAGAAGCCATAAGCACTCCACCCACTCCTGGTTGCCTGTCACAATCCAGGACTGAATGCAAGCATGAAGGGCAGCCCGGACAGGCAGATCTCAGAGGTCCAGGCCTGGGCTCACAGCAAAGACAACAGAAAATGTAATGAGGAGGAGGAGGAGGGGAGGAGGAGGAAGATGAAGAAGAGGGGGAGGAGGAGGGAGAAAAAGAAGAGGAGGAAGGGGGAGGGGAAAGAAGAGGAAGATTTGGAGATGGGACAACAAAGTTATCAGCTCTTGGGGGAAATCTGTCGGTCCGTCCCCCTCCCCCCACACCCCGATATAGAAGCAGGGCCCCTGGTGGCAGAGAAAATGGAGCTGTCACTATCAAACATATGTGGATGAGTGTTAGGGATGCTGACAGGAGCCACAGCCTAGCAAAGGGCCCATTTGGGATCTTAAAGCAGCTCTCCCACCCTGTTCTCTCAGCCCATCTCCTTCGATGATCTGTGTAATGGCTGCCTGAGAGGCTTCTCCTCTTCAGGAGCCTCCAGCAGGGAGTAGAGGGAGGGGTATAAGCCAAGGGAATCTAGAGGACTGGCAAGAGATGCAGAATCTCAAGCAAAGTCTTCATCAATGGCTACATGCCTGATTTGTTTCCTTTTTCTCCACCATTAGTAGCACAGGAAGCGTGCGATCATAATGTCTGTCTGTGCTGAATCAGATCTCATTATCTCCCTAAGAGCCGTCATCCACTAACATGAGTCCACTGGCAACTGATTTCCTATGGTGTAGTCAGCCCGTCACACATTCATCCCTAGGAAAAAGTGTCAGCAGCCCAGAAGCAGCAGCTAGGCCATGAAGCCAAGCCCCCAACATACTGTTAACGTGTGTGTGCTCTAATGGAAATACTCCACCTCATTGTCTTCATAGTTTGAATCTCTTCATTCAAGTTCTCATTTAATACTTGACTGTTTCAAGAGTTTGTATCCAGGCTTGGCAGTAGGAGTTATCTTTTATAAGGGAGGCCCAGTTTCAAAATATGGGTTCTATAACCACACAAAGTTTGATACTCATTTGAAAGAGTGTGGTACTTAGCCTGTGCCATAAGCAGGATAGGACTTGTCTAGATTCAGTTCCACCTATGACCCATAATACTTTTCGGGAGAAGCACATGGTACAATCTTGCCATGCATCACATGATGGCCAGGAAGAGGTAGCAGGCACAGTACACTGGGAGACATCCCAGCAGGCATGATAGTGTGCACCTGAGAACCCAGCAGGCGTGATAGTGTGCACCTG